TATATAAACTAATATCTAAATAATGTCTAAATAACATTAAAGTCATGAAAAAATTAAATACATGGAAATATGGGAATGATGTAGTCACTGAAACATGACACACATGAAAACTTTTAATATTAAACATTTCAGCAGAAAATGTAAATGAGCAAAACATTTTTTAGACGATGTGGAATATATTAAGTCAAGCATGTTCAAACTTTTGATGAACAGTGTATGTACGTTTAATTTATTTTTAGTGTAAATTAATATGATTCAAACATATATTCAATATAAAAGACCTTCTCTAAATAAAGTGTAGAAAATACTCATAACCTAAAATGTTTATATATTAATTTTAATTTGTTTAATTTAATATAGTTCCATTACCGTTACTATTGTTTTAGTGTATTGCCTTTTATCTTTACAGTATTTATTAATCAATGTTAATGATAATGTTCACTTATACTAATATACTTGTAACATTGTATAAAAAATTAATAAAAAAAAAATGGTTTAAAATGTATTTTGAACAAATTGTAATTAACAACGGCCAATAGTATTTTAAAATAACATGAACCTAGATTATTAAATACTTTAAAAATTGTCTTTAATTTTTAGTTCATGAATTATTTGATTAATGCATTAACACATTCAGCCTTATTTTAAAACATTTTCATACATGCATTATATTTTTTACAAATAATATACAGAATTAAAATGCATTTATTTTGAATATATTTATTTTGAAACCTGATTCAGAATATATTTTTTTATAATTATTATTTAAAGAAAAATAATTAATATTATCAATTAATTTTTTCCATTTCAATAATTCATATAGACTGATACTGATAAAATTACAATATGCTGTCTAAAAGGCTGCACTGTGTAGAGGCATGTGTTAAGTGTGTGTGTGTGTGTGTGTGTACAGGTATATATGGTTTATGAGGACACAAATGTGTATAATGACATCTGTCTATCTCTCAGCTACAGTTGGTGAAAGAGCAGCAGTGAATCATCAGACAGAAGAAACTCCAAACATACCAACACACCCGCCAAAACACACACACACACACACACACACAAACACACACAC